TTTGGTTCAAAAACAATTGAAGACTGACATATCAAAATAAAGTTTTCATGATAAAAAATGAGAACAGTGAAGCACATCAGAACGTGAATTTAGAATATCAAAAACTTGTAAAGGAAATTTTAATGCTGGTATGAACTTTAAGATTTTGCATATCCTCATTTGGTAAGAGTCATAGATTTGCTAATGAGATTCATTGGTGATTAATTACAGAATGCGTCAAAGATTGAACTTTTGTTAATTATTGTATTAGCATATGCTTGTATGATATAAGAATGTAGTTATTAGAAAAGAATAATATACCTATTTTCTTTCGCTGTCTGTTTTTAATTTGTTCACTTATTCCTAATGAATCTTCCGAATTTACAACTTACTCTAGAAATTCATGATAATTTTGTGAGTAAAGCAAAAATGAGAATTGTTAGAGAAAAATGCATTTGATAAAATGGTTTTCTATTAGGACTTTCAATAAGGAATATGGAAAAGTACAATTCGTTCATTTACAACAACGAGTAATTGTGTGGATACCTTCTGTAATTATGATGCACTGTTTGGAAATTTTGGTGGTGGAATTTAAAAATAACGGTTTGGTGTTGGGAAAAAACTTCAGTTATATTCATTACTACACCAAAGATTCCAAACAGTGCACAAATCACAAGTATGAAATACTACTCATGTCATCGATAACCTCGCCGCAATCTGCAAGGGTTCATTGTGGTTCACACCTATTCACTCGACCAAATAAACCCAGCTTCTGAACGAAGCCGATTAGTTTGTATGGTGAGTTGTCTTTCAGGTCAGATGATTAGGTCCTCATCGGGGCATGCACAAAGTATGTGCTCTGCTGTTCCATCATTTTCCAAATAGAGGCAACAAACTGCTTATCTTTCTAACCAGGCCAGGCTGTTTGAAATATGGACCTCATTCAAAAAGTAACAAAATTGTCTTTTCACAACGAAAATACGGAATAAAATAGCAAACAATTGCATGCTTAGCAATACTTAAGCAAAAATAAACACATCTGTGAAAAAATAAAATGAAATTATCTTAAAAAATGGCAAACGTAAGAGTCTTTTTCAGCTCCAGGACATTGTTCATGTGCCCAGAGATTGCACATTAAACATTGAACCCATGTTTCTCCACTAGTATCATCAGAAAACTGTTGTTCACAGAATAGACATGTGGCCTCATTGTTTTCAGGAGACTACTGTCCTATCTGCTCTACGTCAAGGTTATCGTCAGGGGGCAAAAATTCCTCTTACTCTTCCTCTTCTTCATCCGAACTGAATTTGGTTTTGTTTTTTCGCTTGGGTGTCTTTACATTTTCTTTCAGCTTTGCCGCAGAAACTATTCGTTTCCCATTTCCTACGTTTTTTTTTTACATTTTTTTTTATTCAACTGAAAATACTTTTCTCTTTCCCTTTCCTACTTTTGATGTTCTCATATTCTCAAATGATACTTCAAGGTCTGATTTATACGGAGATGAAGTTATAACTTGAGAACGAGAAGTTTTCCTTCCTCTTGAAGACGCCCGCTTCCTAACAGATGGGACAGGTGAAAGAACGAATGGACTGATGAATGTTTTTGAATAATCTTCTGGCACAGTTGATGCGTTTGTTGTGTTCCTTAATGGTGGGTCTGGGTCTTTAGAACAACTTGGTTCTTGATCTTCCGAACGAACTGATATATTTTCTGAAGAAATAGTTTCTGCAAGGTCACTTGTCAATACTTCCAAATAAATTTCAGTCGAGTTACAGGTTTTCTTGGCTTCAATTTTTTCAGCAGTGAAATTAGCATCAGAAAAAATGTTTTTATTTATTGGCCAGATTTCTGCTACTTTAAAGCCATTCATATCTATCTCTGCCGCCTGGCATTTCGGAAATGCTCTTCCCAATAGTTCGGCTAGATCAAATTGTGTTAGGGCTCTGTTAATAATTCGTATCCAAGTTCTAATATCTTCAATATGATAAGCTTTTAGTGGTCCCATGAACGTTTTGTCTAGCGGTTGGAGTTTATGTGATATGATGCAGACATTATTTTCCCTTGCCAAGTTTATTATATCTGAATTTCTTGTGTGGCTGTAATGTCCATCTCCTATAAGCAACACAGGTGACTCTTCAGCAGGCTTTACAAAGTAGAGAAAATGATTGGACCATTCAGTAAATAAATGTTGCTGGATCCAGCCACTTGGATGTACCGCATAGATACTCCCAGGTGGTGCTCCGCGCATAAGCTGATCATTTTTATTTTCACTTGGGAAGACTAACATTGAAGAAACAAATTGCTCTACTGCACTCATCGCTGCAACCATGAGGTTTCAGTTGGTCTTCGCAATGACAGTTGATTTTTATGTCTTTTTGAAAAACCATCTAACCAGGTACGACCAGCATATACACTGGCTATTTTTAATAGCCAGTGTATATGCCATTCTACACAGATCTCTTCTGGTTAAACCAAAAAACTGAGGCTCCATTTTTAGAATATAATCAACCAATTCTTCTTCTATATTATATCCAAGAGTTGGTTTTCGTCCCAATTTGGTACCTATAATTTCAGCAACATAATTGATGCTTATTTTAACTTCCTTCACCATTCTCTGTGAAGTCGTTCTTGGCACCTGGAAACTTTTGGAGGCACTTTTTAATCCCATTTTTCCCTCTTTTACAGCATCGACGGCTTTCTTCATGTCATGTTGGTTCCATTTTTTTCGAACATTTTGACAATTAAATTTTCTATCATTGACAGACATTGTTGACCTGTAAAAAAAGATTTATGAATTATTGCGGTCCCTATCCCATATTTAACTCACACAAGGCCCCCCCCATGAAATATGTACGTTCAAGAAAAATATTAGCTTATGATTTTGTAATTATTTTTTTGTTTATAATCAACAATAAAATCCTTATTCCTCCCTTTTTCTATCACACTAACATTATCAATTCTGAAATAATGTCAATAAACACAAATATCACGTAATATAGACCCAATAAAATTTCTTCAAGAGTCAAAGGCAAATATCTACACTGTGTAACAACAACATATGTACTGGTCGCGGAATCCGTGAATATAAGACAAGAGAGGTGCCCATATTAAATACATAGCCCATATTCGGACCAGTTCCTCTGGTCTGAAATTCAAAAACTACTATTTTCTGAAACCAAAGTTATCTTACACTTGAAATTATAAAAAACTAATAGGAGAAAATCGCTGAATTTCAAAGATCTTAAAATCCTCAATTGTTCAAGATCTATTATCATAACTATATTCACGATATAAACAAATATCCAAACCTTGCTGAAAGATGTCAGTAACGTGACAATCTCCCACGGAAATTAGACTAACAGTAGATTTTTCATTACAATGATTATCTGTATCTGCAAAAACTTGTATAGTTCAGTAATCGAACGTGCTCAGCCCAAATTAATATCAATTATATCTTTTCGATAATCTGTTACGGTAGATCTGTTACGGTACTAGCTGTAGATTTTGATATCAATTTGAAACCAAATGAATAAGTACACAAACGTAATTGTTTTTTACTAGAAACTCCGAGATCCATGTAGAATGATAGCGGCTCCTCAACAGGAGTCACTTGAATAACTACCTACTACAAATACAGTTGTATTTACACCAAGTACAGTTGCAGAATGTCAGTGACCCTGGCCTTCGCTATGGCTCTCTGGTTCATTATTTCTTATTGATTTGATTTAATAATAATTTCGATTTAAATCGACTATTTCAGGAAGATGTCGGTATGAGAGGAGTGGGACTTGATATATACAGTAAGGACGTAAATAGATCCTCCCACTTGACTTTCGAACAAGGCAAGATATCAAAGTCGAAAAAAAAATATGAGAACGAATCATTTTCAGAACTATTTGAGAAAAAAAGCCAATGGCGTGACAAAACTCGCCACCATCATCTTTTTTTCTTGAAAAAAAGGAAGATCGTGTGACCCTTTGTTCGAATGATACCCCACATCTCTGTACAATGACCTTCACTGTTTTAGATTTGGATAACCGGTTGCGGAGTTATTGGTGTATGAGTTGAAGACTAGGGAAAATGATAATCACAACCAAAATAGGTTTGAAACAGCTCCAAAGTCAGTTAGCACAGGTTACACAAAGTTTGTATTATGGAAGTTAAAGGAATTGATGGAAATGAATCGCATCAAGGATGAAATTGAACCTAAATATTTGACGAAATGGTGCATCTTCTAAGGACAGATGGCTCATCTGTCCTTAGAAGATGAGCCATATTAAGTAGAAGTGATAATATTCTTCTTCATACAGACTCAATTCAATAATATCGAAGTGAAACAAGTCTCCTCAGCACGGTCAGTTGCAAAGCCAAACTTCGACATTTGTCCTCTCTTCTGCATTGTAGCATTGATGAAACCTAAGGCAGGTCGAAACAGTGATGTCTTTATATGAACCAGTATGGTTTCAACTATTTACCTTCCTCTGAACGTTATACTGCGAAAACAACAATTTTTAACGAAACGTCACGCCTAAAAACCTGCAGACCACGTACAAAAACTCAGAAAATGGCTTTTATATGAAAAAACTCACACTTATTGATTGAACAATGAATCATCTGTAATATATTGTGCCACAAATAGAAAACTCAAATATGGTAATGAAGGTCTAGTGGATGCTTACAAGAGTCATAGTTCTGTCAGTAAACGAGTCGTGTGTATGAGTTGAAGACTAGGGAAAATGATAATCGCAACTTTAATAGGTTTGAAACAGCTCCAAAGTCAGTTAGCACAGGTTACACAAAGTTTGTATTATGGAAGATAAAGGAATTGATGGAAATGAATCGCATCAAGGATGAAATTGAACCTAAATATTTAACGAAATGGTGCATTTCTCTTTTAATGCCATTTTGTGATCGACCTTGTTACCCTAATGACAGAGAGTATTGCGTTAGTTCTACAATCAACAGAATATTCACTTTTGATACTGAGAATTCTCTTTTTTTCATTTCGTTTGAATTTTCAGGAATGGTTTGTGCCAGATGTTTAGAGGAAAAACAGAAGCAATTCGTATATACGCTCAGATGAGGCAGAAGGGTATTCAATGCAAGTTTCTCTAAATATCCTTTCTGCCGGAAATATCCCAGGAAATTACTTGTAAATTTTCAAACTGGAAAAACGGATAGGAATTGTTGCGTGTTCAGCGAATAACCCCTGCAGTCCACAACAACAGTTGCTCGTGAGTATGATTTCTTAGCAACCATCTTCAATAGAAACTTCAGAAGAAATGTCTTAGAGTTTCGGCTTCTAATAATTATGTGCAAATTCATTTTAATTGAATGGATGAAGTGAAAATAATACTTCATAATTTACACTACACTAGAAATCAATGCTGAGATCTAATTTAACACACTGTGTCATCTTCTGATGTAGTGTGAATTGTGAAGTATTATTTTCACCCTACCCATCCAAATCCTATAGACTGAAGATATCAGTATCAGTTTCAGTGACGAATAGGTTTGTTTCTTAAACATAAATGTCAACCGCCATAAACCTTAATTTTTCTCGAAATCATCACACTCAAACTTCTGAGAAAATGAGTGTGTCCTCAGGAATATTGGAAAATTTCATTGTTGGTCTCATATATCTAGAGGAAAATTTGACTAGTGATTTATATTTGGAAATTCTTCAAAACGTCAATAACCCAGGAATTCAAGGAATTGTGGCCAACAATCAAGATGAATTTGAATATCCAGTTGCGTTTCAAAAAGATGTTGCGCCCCACATTTTCAGGCCTGTAAGGGATTGGTTGGTTACATATCCAGTCATATGGACTGGTAGGAATGGTCTGCTGGAATGACTTGTTCGTTCAGCGTATTTGACTTCTCCCGATTCCAATAAATTGATGGATGTAACCGTTACTACAATATGAAGAAAACAGCTTTCTATGTTTTACCACCTTTATTTGTAACTAATGTTACGTTAGTTCCTCTTCATTTTTCAGTATAGCCCATCTGTCCTTAGAAGATGAGCCATAATAAGTAGAAGTGATAATATTCTTATTCATACAGACTCAATTCAATAATATCGAAGTGAAACAAGTCTCCTCAGCACGGTCAGTTGCAAAGCCAAACTTCGACATTTGTCCTCTCTTCTGCATTGTAGCATTTATGAAACCTAAGGCAGGTCGAAACAGTGATGTCTTTATATGAACCAGTATGGTTTCAACTATTTACCTTCCTCTGAACGTTATACTGCGAAAACAACAATTTTTAACGAAACGTCACGCCTAAAAACCTGCAGACCACGTACAAAAACTCAGAAAATGGCTTTTATATGAAAAAACTCACACTTATTGATTGAACAATGAATCATCTGTAATATATTGTGCCACAAATAGAAAACTCAAATATGGTAATGAAGGTCTAGTGGATGCTTACAAGAGTCATAGTTCTGTCAGTAAACGAGTCGTTCAGTAAAAGAAAGTAGTGGAACCTGCGGAAAACACTGTTCGGAATGAAGAAAGAAATTCATACCTCCATTTTTCTCTAAATTGAAAAGGGATCAATGTGAAAAGAAGTCGAAATTACGAGGTTCAATCGATTCCACTACTATTGTATTTGCTGATATAAACTTTTATAATTGTAATCAGAAACAAAACACATGGACGGAAGGGCAATATTTATATTTGTTTTAAGTGTGATGAACCTTCATATCATCATATCAATGTTACACAACATATGAATCAACTCCAATGTTTTCTGGTCATGACAGGAAAACTGTTCATTTATCCAACTTGCTTTGAAAATTCATTAATCAGTTTTTCTAATGAATATATTCGAGTTCATTACAACTTCATTAGAGTCTATTTGAGAGACACAACCATTCTCTTTGGATTCCATGCCTCAGACACTATCTTTTTCCATTTCAAATTTTTGGCAAGACAATTGACAGTTGACTTGGACATGTCCTTTTCACAATGTGTATATTTTTTAAAATCATGTTATAACAAAGTTGATGATATTAGCGTCATCCACCCTTTTTTACATTGTTTTCATGTTTATTAAGTGAATAAATTTGATGAGTGTTCATTAACCCCCACATGTAGCAGTTTTTGAGAAAAACAGTATTTCTCATGCTTGCTTCTTATGTATGAATTTTCGTAAGTATTTTCAACAAACTTTGACAATTATTGAACTCAACCTTATTACTATAGCTACCTGCGTGACATCCGGGTCCAGGAAATTATACAAATAGGAAGGTTATTGAGTATCTTGATATAAATACAGAAGATAATTGATTTTGATAGTTTTCTTGTGAACACAAGATCTATTAACTGAATCCACTAATGTGCGGCTGACTCCTGCTGGTGACTCCGTGCATTTGTATTTCTTTCTTTTGGTAACCAAGTGTTGGTCATCCTTACACTTGACTGCACCATAGTGATGATTGGCCAAAAGCCAATTTCGTCAGTGTTATATCCGACTTTTATCTTCTGTAGGTATCTATATCAAGACACAGTGTATGGGAATTTTAAAAACATCACGAAGGAATTCAGATACAAAAATACAGCAAGGACCCTGTACATATATTAAAACCCACAGCTTTGACCGGAAACAAGCAAATAAGAGTGGGAAATTCAAATATTAAGATTCTTGCATCGAAACGCATCGAAATACGAAAAACTGATAACCGATATAGGTTAGAAAGAAATGTAAGATAAAATTAAATTAACATTTGTGATGAAAAAACGAAAAAGGCATGATAAACTAATTGTTATTATTCAGGAATGAAGTAAAATTCAAAATTTATTTAAATAGAGATTTTATCGAGTGTGCATGATATAAATCAAAAATTAAACAATTTGTGGACACAAATTTGCCCCCCTTTTTTGAGTGTTGTGTCCACAAATTGTTTAATTTTTGATTTAATCCACTATATTGGTTTTCAAAGTAATGGGGGCGTCGAAAACACCGAATTCAAAAAAGACATGAGTTACGATTTTTTTGGTTTGCTGTTATTGGATCAAACAATGTCATTCATTGAACAAAAATACAGAATCTCAGAGTTGCCGTCAATATAACTTGAAATGCGAAAGGTCAACGGTGTCATTCACCTACCTGTTTTCGAGAGTTTATGAATATGCTAATAAAAAACCTACTGCTCATATTGAATTGAATTCATATATAAAAAAGTGAAAGTAGATTATTCTTACATAAAAACGTGAAAATTTCGTTTATTCAATTCAATTTATACTCCCTTTAACTTAATTCGTTTTTTGCTTTCAGTTTCGGATGAATTGAATAACATACTAGGACTAATTTCTCAGGTGCAAGAATAACTACAACAACAACTAAGATGATGAACCAAAATTCGTTTGATGTCTACTCATCCATCCAAATGTCCATAAAAAATTCTGTTTGGAACATAAAATTCTATATTTCCTAACATTTAGGGAACAGGAAGAAAAATCAGTATAAATTCCATCCTTTTGTCCTTTACTTTCCAGAACAATATTTTGTGTAAGATCAACAAGTCAGTGATTTATATTATGAAATTTCATGTTAACTGATACTTTAACGAAATCGTTCGAGTGACGTCGCTCATTTGATTTTCCTAAAAGTGATAAAAATAAGCAGAAAACTGTAAATACACATTGTTTTGACCATTCAACTCAATATACTTCTGATTGAACTTGGCAACTTCATTCAAACAAACTTCTGAACACTATTTTTAGCGATCTGAATCAACATAGTGTTCAATAATTCTGCGCAAGCCCGGCTTTGGAAACGTTTTCAGCGACCTACCTATTTTGGAAATTTCCACCTTCCTAAATATGAAAAAAAATTATAATGGAGAACTATATACAGGTGTAGAAAAATGAGTTTGTCATAAAGATTTTCTTACAAAGAAAAAGTGTCGTGAATCAGATTTCATTGAAAATCTTCTGGTGTATGAACACTTGAATTTAAAATGTATATTTTGATACATCACAGAAGAAAACTGAACAAATTGATACAGTATTGACTGCAATTCATTTCTTCAACGGCTTGTGAACAGGGACGCCAATGAAAGGAATGAATAAATCTGATAATTTATCGACAAATGAAACTTTATATTTCTTTAAATTGTCTTTTCAGGAACATATTCGCGACTGATCGATTGCAAGACATCGAAAATATTTTGTAACGAATGGTGAACAAGCTGGTTGGAGATATGAGTCTTCATTGGCCAACAATCTTTCCTGAAACATTTTTTCCATCATTATTTTGCTACTCTCTGTATTACGGGGTGAAGCAACATCCTGTTAATGTCAAGATATTTCCTTCTTGGTCTGATGCATCCTCTCCAATGCCTTTCAAACTTTATTTATTTTCTGTCACTGACTACTAGTCGAAATTCATATAATTTGATATGATATGAGCGATTTATAAAATCTTGAACATGCATTTCAAATATAGTCAAAGTGAGACAAATTTCAGTTTTCTATTTAGTTCAAGTTGAAGTGTTAGCAGCGGTTATACGTTGTACCATATTAAGATTTATCACCGAAAAGCAGTCCCGTGAATTAATAAAGTTTTTCATAGAAAAAATGGTAATTTTTTGGTAACTGCTTGATATCTATTAGACAAATATTATTTTATAAGGGATAGAGATACTTTCCAGGCGCCATGGTAATAAAGTTATTCCAATAATATGTCGTGAGAGACGCAGTCGAACGCCTTAGAGAGGTCGCAGAGCGTAGTAGCTGTGTGGTTACCTTGCTCGAGATTGTCGACTACTTCACTCACAACATTGAGAACTGACTCTACTGTAGAGCGGTACTTAATAAAACCAAACTGGGATTCGTTGAATAATTCATATTTAACAAAATATGTGTAAAGACGTTGTTTAATAATTTTCTCAATTATTTTGCTGAAAATGGATATTATTAAAATGCATACCGTTGTAATGATATTGTCAGCAATATTAACAAAATAGTCATTGAAATGGTCAGGAGATATATCAGTATGAGTTATATTATTGTTGTTTTTGTTTCTCTCAGAATTTATTATTTATAAACATGCTTTTGTACATTGGTGTACATTGGTTTGTGAACGTATTCTGCACAAACGAATTCAAATCCAGGTATAGTAGAGCACATTCACTATATCTACCCTGCCTGGTATCAGTACGAAATCAGGTTTGAGCGTTTGGCAGGGTCCCACTCTTGTCAGTTCATCCGAAATATCACTCATTGAATAAAGTTATCACCTTCCTAGGCTGCAGTGAAGAGTCGAATGGATTCACTCTAGCTACTACCTTGATTCTCACACTTGTATAACTCTCAGTAATTTTCTCCACTCTGTATGTTTTGGCAGCCTACGCTGCGAGATCTCATATAATCTGCCGAATAGGATCCGCATGATCGTTTCGCTGCGGACAGTGGGTCAGTAAGTACACGCCGAGTACCACACCAGTCGTGATCTGGCACTCCAACTTTCAGTAGGTGAATAACCGTGAAGTCAACGAACTCGTAATCCTTCACACTCCCAACCTTCAGCTTTGCCTTCACGACGTCTGTCGTCGTTCTTGTTCATTTTTTACGTGAAGTGTCAGGGCCGAATTGGGTTATTTGGACCGCTCCAGAATACAAAAAAGCGGCCTCTGATAAATATTAATTTCTTTTGAAATTTCGACATTTCTTGATAGTTTGTGAGAGTATACTGGTTTTGGCCAACACTGAAATATTTTTGGTTGAAAAATAAACGGTCATTTAAATCATGTCCATATCGAATGGTGTATTCTGTGGATGAAGAATGAATACGGAATTGTTACCAACTATTTATAGCCGGCCGAGGTAATAGCTATCTCCAAAATCTACAAATAGATGTGAAAGTATCTGGTACGAATATTATTTGAATTTTCAACACCATCAACACCTTTTTTTCTTCTCACAGAAAAAGCCCAAAACTCAATCTTCAATAAAGAGCAATTAGTAGGTATCAATGTAGAAGACATTACAATGAGAGGACTGGTCATGAGGGGATGTCCACATGGAGGGGTCTTATCACCCCTTCTTTGGAACATAGTTCTGGATACCCCAATTAATCACCTCAATAATAATGGATTCTACACAATTGCATGCGCAGATGATATAGTTATCATGCAGACAGGCAAATTTGTGAACACACTGTGCGATAGAGCGCAGGATGGGCTCAAATTAATAGAAACATGGTGTAAGAAACACCGATCACAACACAACAAAGTTTTTGTTTCGGGGTTGAAATTAGATGATTTTAATGTATTTCCACGTGTTAAAACCGAAAGTGACCATAAAAATTATATATTAGCTCTTGTTTTCAAGATATAGTATCATTATATTATATATATGTATATTGAGTTTTCAACAAATGAAATATTTCATCACCAACAGTTGGTACACATGTTTGTTTACATAACACCCCTCTCATCAGCTGTTCTTAAGTAGTAAACATAACCTATGTGAGTTTGTCAATTGTA